ATGTACTGTGCCATTCCACGTGTGTCCTAGCTCTCACCCGAGAGAACCTGGGCTTCCCAGTCGCAAGGCAGAAGGGCATGTGTCTGTGGGCTGGACCACCATTAGTGTCAGCCCAAATGTCTACCCTAGAGTAAAAACATTGGTTTCAGAAGGTAATGACCCACTTTGTACCCGTCCACACTAAACAAGAAAGCCAGGCTTCTTTGTGGTGGAAGATCATTTTAGAGGCGGGCTTAAGGACCTGTCCACGAAATTGCCTATGCCCGACCCTCATGTACACACTGGGGAAGGGGAAAGTCTCTTGGATCGGTGCAGCCCTTTGCAGATAAATACTTCCAATTTCAGTAAAACACCCTAAAAGGAAAAAAGACATTTGAAGTTTTTCCTTCTTTTATTTTATTGATTTTTTATTTTATTTTTTAAAGAGAGAAAGGGAGAGAGAGAAACATTGATGTCAGAGAGAAGTATTGCTTGGTTGCTTCCCACATGCATCCCAACGAAGGATTGAACCCACAACATTCTGGTGTACAGGACAATTCTCCGACCAGGGCTGACACTTTTCCTTTTTAAAAAGTAGGCAATTGCTCAGATTATTTTTGTTAACTAGACCAAAAGTGCTAGAATTAATATTGTATATTTTGAAGATCAAGGAAGCACTTATCTACATATTGTTGAATAATAAAGGCCAATAGATAATTTATTTGGATTTCTTCCTACTAGCTAAGATGGACTTTTAAATAAAGTCTCCTTCTCTGGATTAAGGGCTTTTAACATATAGATTGAAATTATAACTACTTTCAAATGATTTTGAGAAAAGGAGGTTCATACCAGCACCCTGACTGGACCACCTTACATATACCCTGAATCAAATCTTATCCCAACATTTGAGCCAAATATCTGTCCAATTTAACCCTGACACCTACCTCAACCTACATGCAAGAGTCACATGAGATAAAAATGATCCAGCTGCTTGTGGCAGCATTTGAGAGCAGGGAGATGAAAGTTGGACTGTGGAAAATTATGAAAAAGTAAAATGGTTACAAGGGAATGGTCTTGGGGTACCTTTGCCTATGAGGAATCTTTTGTCTTTCTTAGCACTATGACTTAAAAGGATTGAAATCCTCTTATTAAAGAAGAGCCTCCTCCTCCTAAGAAAACTGCTAAATCACAATTTAAAAAACTGGTAAATATAGGAACATTTCTTTGCTCTTTACCAGAGAATCATTGGTAGGATTACCTTAGGTAGAATTTACACAAGTAGATCCCTAAGTGTTACTATAAAACTTGAAAGAAATACTAAGAGCCCTGGCTAGTTTTGCTCAGTGGTTAGAGCGTCCACAGGTTTGATTCTCAATCGAGGGCACGTACCTGGGTTGCAGGTTTGATCTCTAGCCCCCATCAGGGTCATATGGGAGGCAACCAATCGATATCTCTCTCTCACATCAATGTGTTTTTTTTTCTCTCTCTCTCTCTCTCTCTCTCCCTCCCTGCCTCCCTCCCTCCCACTCTATCTAAAATGAAAAAATATCTCCAGGTGAGGATTAACAAAAAAATAAGGAAACACTAAGAGAAAAAACTACAGTTGGTTTTTACAACGAAAATTAATGAGAAGTAAAAATGCCACTGAAATTTCAGTGTACAGATGGTAGCATTATTTGATTTACTCTAGACTTTATAAGAATTCATCTAGCTGTTTCCGAAGACTCTGTCACAGGAATGTTCGGAATCAGATGCTGGCCAGCTAATAAACGGCTCTAATTTGGATTTCAAAAAAAAAGGAATGCATCTATTTCATAAAGGAAAATGCTTTTATTTTTTTCCCAAATGCATCTAACACAGAGTAAATCCAGGTTATGTGTTTGTGTTGAATGCAGAAATTACTATTAAATAAAAAATTTTAATTATATTGAATTGTTGCCCTGGCCAGTTTGTCTCAGCAGTTAGAGCATCAGCCTGTGGACCAATGAGTCGTGAGTTTGATTCTGGTCAAGGGCACATATCCCACGGTTCAGTCCCCACCCTGGTCGAGGTCATGCGGGAGGCAACCAGTCAATGTGTGTCTCTCACATCAATATTTCCTCTCTCTCTCTCTCTCTCTCTCTCTCTCTCTCTCTCTCTCTCCCCGTTTCCCTCTTTTCCTCTCCCTCCCTCCCTCTCTATCTGAAGATAAATAGGGGGAAAAATGTCCTTTGGTGAGGATTGAAAAAAGAAAAAAATTTTTGAAGATCATTTTCAAAATTTTTGTTTGTTTTAAGCCTTACCTGAGATTATTTTTTCTTTTTTTTTTCCAGATAGAGTGGGAGGGAGGAAGGGAGAGAGGAAGAGAAACATCGATTGGTTGCCTCCCACACGACCCCAACCAGGGCCGGGGATCAAACCACAACCAAGGTACGTGCCCTTGACCAGGAATCAAACCCATGACTCTTTGGTCCACTGACCAACACTTTAACCGCTGAGCCAAACTGGCCAGGGCTAAACTTTTTTTTTAAGATAAAAAAATGTTTTTTAATATGTTTTTTATTTTAGAGAGAGAAACATCCATTGGCTGCCTCCTACATACCTCCTACTGGGGATTGAGCCTGCAACCCAGGCATGTGCCCTCACCAGGAATCAAACCAGTGACTTCTTGGTGCATAGGAAGATGCTCAATCCACTGAGCCACATCAGCCAGGGCAAGATAAAAAAAATTAATTGGACAATAACTGTTAAAAGAGAACTCTTTCTCTACTTTGCAGAAGAGAAAATTGATTGATGGCCTGTCTGAACCTCTATGAGTTTTTCCTTACCCCCACCCCAAACTGACAGGGCTACTTCCTAGCCCTCCCAGTACAGACCTGCGGCAAGGGCTTGGGTGACACATCTGAGGAGTTGACACATCTGAGTGTGCTTGGGCTGCTAGGATCAGGGGACAGAACTGGCTTTCCAGTTCAGGCTGGCATGTCAGCTGGTCCATGTGTTCAGGCTGCGTCACAGGTTAATTCATGAAGTACAGTCTAGCTGGTCTTAGCTGGCTGTGGAGTGCAATTATTTCTAAACTGTAGAGAAGCAATTTAAATAAGAAAAGGTAGATAATTCCATTCAAGTAGACTGAAAGCCACATGGGGACAAGAATGAATGGAAAAAGAACAGGAAAAGAAATAGGCATGTTGGCAAGAGAAAGGAAAGGAATTCCTTGGCAGATAATTAGCGAAAATTAATTTCAAAATATAATTTACCCAGGAGTCTAAGCCTTTAAATCAGCTTCTTTTGCTTCTATTATTTAATATCTCTTAAAATGTTTAGAGTACTTATTTAAATTTTTGTTCATTCTATATAAATTTATTGAGCACCTACTGTGTTGTGTTTAGAAAATATTTTTGTCGTAATTTTTTTTTTATTATACAACTAAGGTAGTAGTAATAGAAAACAAATTACAGCATTCCATGGCATTTCCAGGGGTTCACCTGTTCATCACCTTCAACCCCTTTTGCTCCTAGCAGAGACAGATATAAAATACAAAAAGCAAAAGCTAAAAAGACAGCCTGGCTCAAAAGCAAGGTGGATACTACGACCATAGCTTGGAAACAGTAGCACTACAGAGCTGCAGCCTGCCTGGACCCCTTGAAGTAGGGGGGAGCCCAGGTGCCCGATGGAAAGGACACCAGGAGCTGAGACTTTCAGAAAGATGTGGGCCTAGGCCCTGGCCAGTTTGGCTCAGCGGTTAGAGCGTCGGCCTGCGGTCCGGAGAGACCCGGGTTCGGTTCCCGCTAAGGGCATGTACTTCGGTTGCAGTTTGTCCCCGGCCCTGGTGGTCGTGCGGGTGCCAGCCACTCGATATGTCCCTTCACGTCGATGTTTCTCTCTCTCTCTCTCTCTTCCTCTCTCTCCCTCCCACTCTATCTGTACAAAAAATGGAAAAATATCCTCAGGTGAGGATAAAAAAAAAAAAAAAAAATTGAGAAAGATGTGGGCCTAGGTAGGGAGAGTACACAGATGCAGTGCACAGTAAAGGATGGAGCCAAGCCACCCTCTGATTCCATGGCTCTGTCTACAGTATTCACATGTCACCTTGGAGCCCTAAACTGTCACTTCAAGACCTGGCTCTGAAGAGCTTGGTGAAAGCCACCTCGCAAGTAAGTCCTTCATGAATTGAAACATGAATGTACTTCAGATTCAGTGAATTTTGTAGCATTGATTGACAAAGAACTTAAATATGTTCAGATGACAAGAAGTAAATGAAGGAATAACTTTTATTTGAAAAGAAAAAAATATGGAAACAAACTTGTGCATAATAGAAACGGGTAGATGTGTAAAGAACAGGTAGAAATGAAAACTATCAAACAAAAAGACTAGACATGGGGTAACTCTAGCCTGGATACAGTTTAAAAGAAAATTTATAAATTGGAACAGACTAAAAAATTAATCTATAATACATCAGAAAGAAGCAGATCTAAAAGTTGTCACATGGCCAACGAGAGATAAAGAGTATACACTCAAATTCCTAACCACTGTATGAAGTTGTTGCTCTCCTCCTCCCTGTCTGTCCCTCACATTGCTTTGTGCATTTCTGTTAATGACCAGAATGACCAGGTGTAGGAGTGCTGAGCTGTGTTCTGGGCACACTATGTAGACATCTAAGAACAAGTCAGATAAGGCCTTGCCTTATGGATCTTTTGTTCTAGCCTATTCACTATATCCCTGGACACATTGTTATCTGGCCCAGATTAGGCATTCAATGTATATTTGTTGAATGAATGAATAAATGAGCGAAGTAATTCATGGCCTTGATTACCTGCTCTGTTTGGCCAGCCTTGTGGGAGAGAGCCTGGGAGAAGAGGAGAGGAACCCCCCCCCGCCCCAGTGCACACACCCTCCTCTCCTCAGTGACAGGGAACACTGGTGTGACCCCTACCAAACAGTGTCCTCTTGCATTTTCATTCCTATTTTACAAACTCAGAAGATTCATAATGAGACAGCAATATAAAGAATATCAATATTAAAATTTTCCCCCCACTTTTCAGGCTGGAGTAAAAGGGACATTGGGAAGATTAGTTGGAATTTTTGAGGTAAGTCTGTTAAAATCTTTTGTGCATTTGATATTAATAACCACATATATCTTCTCTTAGTCCATTCAAGATGCTGTAACAAAATATCACAAACTGGGTGGCTTACAAATAATAGAAATTGATTTTTCACAATTCTGGAGGCTGGAATTTCAAGATCAGGGCACCAACAGGTTCAGTGTCTGGTTGAGACCCTGCTTCCTGGGTCGTTGACAGCTGTTTCTCTGTCCTCACGTGGTGGAAAAGGGAAGGTTGCCCTCTAGGTCTGTGCTATCGCGGCACTAACTCCATTCATGAGGGTCAGTACTCATAACTAATCACCCCCCAAAGGCCCCACTTCCTAATAGCATCACACTGGGGAGTGGGATTCAACATATGAATTTTGAGGGGAACATAAATATTCAGTCCGTTGCAGTTTTTATCTCCTCCAATCAGCTAGAATATTATTTGTAAGTATTGTTTATCCCCGTCCCTACCTCTCTACTTTTCCTCCTAAGACGTGAGGAGGGGTAGGTAAGTCTGGAGAAGACAGAGGAAAAATGGAAGATAAGCAGTTACAGCAAAAGAAACAAGGGAGAAACAAGGAAATCTGCTGGGGTAGAGATTTGGAGGAGAAGGGAAGTGAGATGTCAGGCAGTGAGATGAGCAGGCGAGGAGGAAGGGGGATGTTCAAGATCATTGCTGGCCTACATTGACGAGGCCCCCCATCCAGTCTCTTCTTTTTCCGGTGCCCAGCTAGTTAAATTTACTTGGCGCCTTTTTCTTGAGAGGTTGCAACCTTCTTGCTCACGGCATTTCCATGAAGGTGCACTTAGGGGAAGGGAAGGAAAAGAAAGAGTAAACCATTGGCTGTAGAAACCCAGCTCCAGAGAGCTAGCCCGCAAATGCAAGGGTGGCATGTTTCAAACAGGCCATCTGGTATTGTTCATGTGTGACTGTGGAGTGATACAAAGTAGAAGGAATCCTGTGTCTAAGCTCTCTAGACATGGGTGAGAGTGCGTGTCACTTAAGTCATCTCAGCTCTGTCCTCCCTTCTCTGCCCTCAGAACCAGGAGAGGAAGCACAGAACGTATGTCTATGTGCTCATTGTTACGGAGGTGCTGGAAGACTGGGAGGACTCCGTTAACATCGGTAAGTCGTCCCAGATGGCCTCCACAGCCGCCCTTGCCACAGCACAGGTCGCTACTCAGAACCAGGTCGCTGCTAAGAAGAGAAATAAAAGGAGGATATGTGTAATAAAATAAGCATGTCCATTTTTGAACTTGTGAAAGTTAGTATTTTGAAATGTATAAAAGGAAACTGAAGTTGGGTACATGATCAACAAATAGAAACATGGCCCATAAAAATAGGAAAGATTTCTTAAGTCATATTGGATCCTCCTCCACAATGTCAGGCCAGCTGCTGGCTGCAGGACCTCAGCTGTTCCTTGTGATGCTTGTTCTTACTTTTGGAGAAAACTGTTGGTTTGGTGGTGTGAGCCCCTCTGCAGTCATTTAGCAGATCAGAGTGTTGAGAGTAGTTTCCAGTTTTATTTATTTATTATTATTATTATTATTATTATTATTATTATTATTTTTATCATCCTCACCCGAGGACATTTTTCCATTCTTTGTTCAGATAGAGTGGGAGGGAGAGAGAGGAACAGAGAGAGAGAAACATCGATGTGAAAGGGACACATCGAGTGGTCGCCACCCGCACAACCAACCAGGGCAGGGGAGAAACTGCAACCGAGGTACGTGCCCTTAGCAGGAACCGAACCCGGGTCTTTCCGGACCGCAGGCTGATGCTCTAACCGCTGAGCCAAACCGGCCAGGGCTATTTATTATTTTTTTTGTGTGTGTGGTACATGTCCCTAGCGGGAACTGAACCCAGGACTCTCTGGTCCGCAGGCCAACGCTCAACCGCTGAGCCAAACTGGCCAGGGCTAGTTTCCAGTTTTAGCCATACCACCCTGCAGGTCACCTAGCTTTCTCCTAAGGAGCCCTTTTCTTGTATCTCAAAGATCACTATTGGATGTATGTCTTTGAACTGAAAACTGAGGTAATTTAGTGGTTGGTTCATGGTTTAATCTTTTACCTCTGAACGAAAGGATATTCTAGAAAAGTGTAAAATTAATTTAATTTCTGTTTTAAGTTGGCAAACAGATAAAACATTTGCCAAAACTTGCCCCTTTATTGTTAGCATGTATTTGGCACCAGGCCCCTCGCACTGCTGAGGTGAGCATTCCCTAGCCCTTCAGCGTGCCAGGGAGCGCACAGTGTGCTTGCCCTGGCCGGTTTGGCTCACAGTTAGCGCTTCAGTCTGAGCAACGAAAGGTTGCGGGTTCAATTTCCAGTCAGAGGCATGTACCTGGGTTGCAGGTTAGATCCCTGACCCTGCTTAGGGTTGTGCAGGAGGCAGCCAGTCGACGTGTCTCTCTGACATCAGTGTTTCTCTCTCTTCTTTCCATTCTATCTGAAAAAAATCAATGAAAAAATATCCTCGAATGAGGATTAAAAAATAATACACACACACAAGTGTGTGTGTATAAAAAACAACAAAAAAGTGCAGTATGCTTAAGTAAAGGGATTCAGTGGGGGATTATTAAAAATAGACTCCTTGCCCTGGCCGGTTTGGCTCAGTGGTTAGAGCATTGGCCTGTGGTCCAGAGAGACCCGAGTTCGGTTCCCACTAAGGGCATGTACCTCAGTTGCAGTGTGTCCCCGGCCCTGGTTGGGTTGTGCGGGTGGCAGCCACTCGATGTGTCCCTTTCACATCGATGTTTCTCTCTCTCTCTCTCCCTCCGACTCTATCTGAACAAAATATCAAAAAAAGTCCTCGGGTGAGGATAAAAAAACAACAAAAAAATAGACTCCTTAACAGCTGGTGCTGGGGCCTGAAAGGGAGACAGAGATGAGTGTGGCTTGGCCCTGTCCTCAGAGCACTCTTTCGGGCAGGAGTCACACACTTGTGATAGGTTTTTTTTTTAGTCCTCTCCCGAGGATATTTTTACATTTATCTTCAGACGGGGGGGGGGGGGGGGGGCGACATCGATATGAGAGTGACACATTGATCGGTTGCCTCCTGCACGACCCCAACAGGGGCCGGGGATGAACCGCAATTGAGGTACATGCCCTTGACTGGAATCGAACCCGGGACTCTTTGGGCCCCAGGCTTACCTTCCAACCACTGAGCCAAACCGGCCAGGGAGTGATAGGATTTTTTTTTTAAAGGTACTGTTGCTTTGCTAATACCCCAAAAGCCTTTCAGCTGTACTCCCTCCTCTGAGAATTAACCCTAATGAAGTCATCTAAAGTATGGGGAATAAGGCTCTGAGCCTTCCTTCAGATGAGCCTTATTCAGATGAAAAATTGGGTCTTAACTGTACAACTCAGTGAATGATAAGTGATTTGAGGTACATTAATCTAGGGAATGTTAGACGGCTGTTACACACAAACTTATGGAAGCTGTTACCCTGGGAAAGTGCTTACAAAATAGTGTTGCTAAATGAAAAGAGCAGGGTGTAGAATTATATGTACACTAGTTATGCTGAAATAGTAATTTGAAGTGAAAACCGAATGAGAGACTGGTTTTCACCTGAAAATTGGCAGTGACGGGAAGGGTAATGACCTGGCGAGGACGTGGGAGACCCATACTCACAGGCAGCAGTGGAGGCGGTGTGGCCCTCTTGGAAAGCAGTCTGGCACTATGTATCCTGAGCCCTTTCAGATGTTCTATTCTTTTTTTTTATCCTCACCCGAGGACATTTTTTGATATTTTGTTCAGATAGAGTGGGAGGAAGAGAGAGAGAGAGAAACATCAATGTGAAAGGGACACATCGAGTGGTCGCCATACATACGACCCAACCAGGGCTGGGGACAAACTGCAACCAAGGCACATGCCCTTAGCGGGAACCGAACCTGGGTCTCCCTGGATTTCAGGCCAACACTCTAACCACTGAACCTAACCAGCCAGGGCAGATGTTCTATTCTTAAATCTCAGTTCTCGGGATCTTTCCCTGAGAGGTTAAAAAGAAAAAACAGCCCTGGCCAGTTTGCTCTGTAGTTAGAGCGTCGGCCTGCGGTCCAGAGAGACCCGGGTTCGGTTCCTGCTAAGGGCATGCACCTCGGTTGCAGTTTGTCCCTGGCCCTGGTTGGGTTGTGTGGGAGGCAGCCACTCAATGTGTCCCTTTCACATTAATGTTTCTCTCTCTCCCTCCCACTCTGTCTGAGCAAAAATGGAAAAATGTCCTCAGGTGAGGATAAAAAATAAATAAATAATAAAGCCTAACCTCTTAAAAACAAACAAACAAATAAATAAATAAAAAGAAAAAAACAGATAAATTTTTTTTAAATTATAGTATTATTTATTGTTAAAATTGCAGGGTATTGATGTTCAATGACAGGGAAATGGTTAAATGAATGACAGTACATTAATGCTAGATGTTATGATGTCATGCACAGCCATTAAATGTCATTTTTTTACAACACCATAGAGAATGCTTAAGCAGTGTGAAGTAAAAAAGAAACAATAATAATAATAAAAAGCAAACTCTCTCTTTTTTTTTTTTATCCTCACATGAGGATATTTTTACATTTATCTTCAGACAGAATGGAAGGGAGGGAGAGAGAGAAACATTGATGTGAGAGACACACATCTGTTGGTTGCCATCTGCACAACCTCATCCGGGCTGGGGACAAACCACAACCAAGGTACGAGCCCTTGGCCAAAATCGAACCCGGACTCTTTGGCTCGCAGGCCAACGCTCTAACCGCTGAGCCAAACCAGCCAGGGCTGCTTGCATTACTCTTATAAGAAAGCAAAGAAAATGTATTTATAATACATATTTTGAAAATGTTGACAACCATTACTTTCCTGTTTTCTTCTACATTTTCTCAAAAGTTAGAAGATTAGAAACCTTTCGCTGCTTCCCGGTGTCCTGATGTTTCTCTGTGCGCCTCCGCAGGAAGGAAGAGAGAGTGGTTCAAGGTAGAGGATGCCATCCAAGTGCTGCAGCACCACAAGCCCGTGCAGGCGTCGTATTTTGAGACGTTGAGGCAAGGCTACTCCGCCAACAACGGCACCCCGGTCGTGGCCACCACGTTCTCGGTTTCTGCGCAGAGCTCCACGTCGGGCATTAGATGACTGAAGACCTGGAGAGGACGGAAATCGGAAACTAGACTGAAGTGCAGACCTTCCCTCTCACTCTTGCTCTTCTCCCCTCTCTTCCCAGGCCGCCTCTCTCAAAAAAGGCATGATGGCAGCAGAGAAGGGTTCGTCGATAATGTTCTGCTTGGTGTTCAATGATGGGGCTTTTCTTCTCCTTTACTTAGGGGTGGGATGTAATTTTTAAGTACGTTTGTGCATGATCTGTCCCTCCCTGTTCACACCCCTACATTCTCTACAAAAAGGCAACCAGCCTTCCTCTGACTTGGGTTCCAAGTATTCCTGTCTGTCTCATCCTAGCCCTGGCCAGACTTTTTTCTTTGATTTTTAATTTTTTTTATTAAAAGATACCAATACGAGATGAAACCTTTCGAGAATGTGTTCTATAATGTGCTATTCAGCCCAGTAGCTTGGTCCCTTTCACTGCAGAGTACATTTATCTACATATCATATGCTGGGCATATAATATGTAAATAAATGGCTTTTAGAAGAGGAATTTAACTGTTTAAACTTTTAAGGATTTGTTTTGTTTTTTAAATTTGGGCTGTTTCTGAAATGGAGAGCCTCACAATTCATAGTTTTCTTTTGATGCTCGTGGCTAGACCAGCTCCCTGCCCCTCCTCCTCCCTGTCCTGACCACAGTTGTGCGGGGCTGGGTAGAGGGCTGTCGCCGTCGCCACGTCCTGGACTCCTGGCCTTCTCTCCTCAGCTGTGTTTCCAGGCCGAGAAAGAACCACGAAGAAACCTAGTTTCTTTTGATTACCAAGCCAGGAGCAAATGGCCTCAGCTCAGATCCGGAGAAACAATGATAGAAATTGAATTCCCACCGCTGTGTTGACAATAGGGATTTGAACTGGGTTGTTGGGATTACGTTCTAAAAAAACTGGAGCATCGAGCACAGTTTCTATCCTGCTGGTTTGGAATTTTTCCCATAATGCTACTTACTGCCGACAGCAGCCTCGCCTTGTGCGGACATGCCTTACAGCGTGCCGAACTGGATCTTGTCCGCGTGCTGAAGCGGCCAGCTGTCCTCGGCAGGTGCAGCTGAGCAGTCCTGTCCCGCCCTGGGTGACCATGCTAAGTTCCTGAAACGTACACAGGAGGAAAGTCCAGGTGTGTGTTTGTCTTTGTAATGTTACAGCACTTGTAAGTACACCGTCAGCATGCTCGGAAGTATCGACTATGTCTCCCACTGGGGTGTGGAAGGCCGTCTTCTGCTGAGAAGATATGGCAGAATGCTTCATCATTTGCTAGAACAGCTACACAGTGTATCAGCTCACTGAACCGTCCTGTTGTGTTTTCATACAGGTCTCCTGCTGGCTTCATTCGCCAACTGTGTTGTCTAGTTGAGAAGTAAGGGTCTTAAAATGGGGTGGGGGGGTGTCGGGGGCGGCACTGATCCCTGGCTTGGGAAAGGAGCTTGTTGCTGTGCCCTTAGTGGCATCTCCTTTGTCAAAACATAGCCAAGATGTGAAATCAGAATCGTAGTTCTCTTTATTTAAAAATTCTAATAAATACTCAAACTTTGAAAAGCATTTGCTCTTCCCTCCCACTAAAAGAATGTATATATCTGGTCGACCTGTGTCATTGAGTTTCCAGCATTTTGAGGTATATCAGTTGATGAATTTAAATTTTGCTATACTCCCAGTTTGCATCTTCTCTCCCAAGCCTTAAACACAGGACTGAACAGCAGTGCCGGCAGTTTTAGCGTATGGTCCCCAGCGGATAGAAGCAGCATGTGGGATCTGAGGCTGCATGCCACTCGGGTCACATGCCCTACTGGAAAACACTGCTGCCTGTTGCCTGATGAGGGAATCTAGGTTCTGTTCAGATGTGTACCGGGGACATGAAATCACTTCAGCTGAGCACCAGGCAAATCCCAAAAGCACGTTCTTCCAAATACATTCTCCCTTTATGATGTGGATTAAAGTGCTTTGCAGGAAAACAGTCAGTGCTCTGGAAAGGGAACGGAAATGTTCATGGTAATTGTGCATTTTTTCATGATCTGAAGATGTCTTTACCGGGCTGGTGTGGCAATATACTACCCTACAAGTCCAGTTTGGAGTGTGGGTAGTGTCTTTGGGTCAGGAAAGTGAACTGTGCCAAGGAGTATTTTCGGTGACATGAGTGGATCCTGTGAATGCAGTTAACTGGAGACATTGTGCTGATGCTTCTCTGCGGACAAGAGGAGGCTTTGTCCAGCTGCCGGTGGTTTATGTTGCACTGAGTACTGATCAGCAGGGACTGGTGTTTTTCCCTGCCTGGCACCATAAACATGCGGCTGCCTTTACTGTAGGCACAGCCCTTTTGTGATATCTCCCGAGAGAAAGTGAGAAACAAAAGAAAGCACAAAAATTACCCTACTTGTAAAATTGTATTGACACCGGTTTGTCATTAGTTCTTCAAGTGCTTACCTTATTCAGGCTTGACAGAAATGGGTTTCTGTGTTCAGGGCAGAGACCAGGGCTCTTTCTCACTGTGACTTTGCACGTTCTGGATTCTGGTCATCACTGAACTATCCATCAGGGCCCACCATCCTCGGTATAGAGAAAGACAGCAGTGGGTGGTTGTTGTTGTTGTTTTTTAATTAAATTTTGTTTTTAGTTTATTTGTAGCCATTGGGGAAACACAAGTGAGGTCATGTCATCTTTTTGGACCAGGACTTTGTATGTGTGTGTGTGTGTGTGGAGAGAGAGAGAGAGGGGGGGGGGGGGTTACTCTCAGGAATCAGCTGTGCTAGATTTTTAAAATGTTTTTACTGAATTTTTTTTAGAGAACTATAGATGTAAGAAACATGTGTTAGGTTTTTTGTAGCCTTCCAGAGCAGTGTAGCCAATCCAACAGGAGTCTTGATTTTTCTTATAGCAAATATAACAGGATGGACACATGAATGAATTGACTGTGTGTTGTTTTCACATGTTCTGTAAGCAGGGAAAAGGTTCCCTCACCGCTGAGTCTGAGCTGAGGCCATCTGAAGGGATCAGAGAGGGTGGACTGTCACTCTCTGAGGCCAGGCCCCGCCCACCCTCTGTGCTGCGTGGGCCATGCAGTACCATGACCCTGCGGCCCTTAGGCCCTTACTCCCAGCCTCTAGGGACAGTGGGTCACTGCCCTCAGAGTGTCTGCGGCAGCTGTGTAAACGTGTTACATAGTCAAGTTCCTTTGTGACGAAAAAATATTTTCTGTTTTGGTGTTAGGAGTCAGCCCATGTGAACTCTCTTAGACTTCCTCAGAAGAAACAAGTTCCCTGCAGGACCATCTTCCTCGGTCTCATCCCCTGTCTCTGCTCCACATGCAGTGCTCCCTGAGGCCCTGAGCCAGAGGGCGGGCGTCCTGTGTGGGACCTGCCGCGTGTCCCCCGCACCCCCACGGACCGCGCCGTCCAGCGCTGTGGCAGCACCCATGTTGGCCTCCCCGCCTGACCTCTTTCAAAACAGCTTAGCCTGAGCCACATTTTTTTTAGTTTACAAAAAGGTTTCATAGCCACGTGTGATTTTTGCCACAACTGTAATTTTTAATATTTCTGAAGTGTTTTGTAAGCCCGTCCTAGTTGAGGGTAGATTTAGAATGAGAAGAAATACCTGGAGAAATTGTCACAGTGGGATGAATGTTTGCTTTAAGAGAAATGAAGGTTAGCTAGAATTGACAGTATAGCTTCATCCTGTTCCTATCTGCATTTTGGAAAGTAGTCCATATTTTACAAATGAGAAAAGAAGAAAAAATACATATATATGTATAGATATGAGACATGCAGGACAGGGAAGCCAGCAGTTCCTGGGCGAGCAGATGGTTTAATAGTGGTCGAATAGTGCAGAGGCTCTTCTGGTTCTCGCTCGAAGATGAAGAGGTCGGACCTGAGGCTTTGCAGTCACACTGCCCGGTCATTCCATGGGGCCAGTCCAGCAGAGCTGTGTTCTCCATGCCCCGTGAGATGTCACCTGAAACAGTGAGACATCTGAGTTGTCAGGTAAATTGTAAATTGGGAAGCGCTGACTGCATTCCGTAAAAGATACTCTTGTCTGCGCGTCGGGTCGAGTCAAGGTCACTGCAGGTCCTGGGAACCTGGGCATTTCAGGCAGACTTCTTCCCACTCCTGCCTCCAGAAGGGCGGCTTCACGTTCGTGCATGATAACCTTTCAGGGATGTAAGAAGCCCAATCAGGACATCTGAGAAGGTGATACCTCTCACCTTCAGATTAATCAAATAATTTGTCCCCAAGCCCCCCTTAAAAATTAATAAATAAAAAGAAGGAAAGCAGCTCGTTTGGTGTTGATTTGGACCGGCTCCTTGAGCTGAAGCTAGTAGTCACGTGATGTGCATCTCTGCAGTGTGGTTTTCTGGACAAAAAGTCATGTCTGCCTCCCGAGGCTCCGTTCCTAGTGGCGGGTGGTGAGCTAGAGCTCGTCTTGGAGAAGGAGGCTGCAGCCGGGAGCTCGCAGGGCAGCCGTCACTCAACTCAGTGCACCAGGAGGGACTCTGCTCTTGAGGGGGAGGCCCTGCTTCTGCTCCCGCGCCGTCAGTTGTTTAACGGCCCCCGGTTTCCTTTGGTTTACATTCCCAGTTCTTAACCCTGAACAGGGGCCACCAGAACACCAAAGGAGGCATTTAAAACCCTGGAGATCAGCTTCAAAAGATACGAAACTGCAGCGTGTCCCTCTCCGGCTTCATCACCCCGTGGCAGCCAGCACAGACGCGCAGGTCTCATTTGTCATTGAGTTGAGGGACATAAATACTGGTTTGGAACAATTTCCTACTAAATTGCTTACCCTCTGTGATCATTGCCTGTGGGGTGTACCTTTCAGAGAACATCTCGGCAGTCCAGTAAAATCACTCCTCTGGGCTTGAGGTTCCACTTAGATCAAGATCCTGACGCTGGGCCCGAGGCCCACTCGGAGGCTGGCCTGCGGAGCGCAGCGGCTCCTGCGGGCAGCGTTTCCAGTGCGCGAGCCCGTGACCCTGCGGGACGGGTACTGCTGTGGCCTTTCTGAGCACTTTGTGCTGCATCGAAAGGTTCCCTAAGACAGCAGCAGATCCGGGGAGCCTTTATTGTCCTGTTGAAAAGGCTTTTCAGGCTCACTAATAAATGACCAGAGAAGACATCTAGTTTTGGTTACTTGATTCCAGCAGCATAACAGACATGACTTATGCCAGGGAAGGTCAAGGCTCATGATGGAGACACGCAGGAACCAGGAGGATGGGTCTGCTCCACAGACCGCCTCCACCCAGGGCAGACTGCAGTGAGATGCTGGCGAGCGTCCAACGCCTGGAGTAAAAGGCGGACTCCGAGGGCCTTTGCTCAGCCCCAGGCAGCCTGTGTTCCTCCCGAGAGCAAGAAGGGTCCTGAAGGCACGGCAGGCATCTCAGCCCCAGCGCGGACACAGCCCTGCCCTGCTGCCCTTCCCACACGGCTGTGAGCATTTCTGCTCAGAACCCAGAGGGACTCTCCCCCAAATTCTGATTTGCTTCTTGTGTTTAGTTTGGCCTGAGAAC